ACCGTGGTAACCACTGTGCCTTTAAGGGGATTTTTCATGCTAGAATAATATTTTGTTTTATACTCTTAAGATAACGGTTCCAAATGCTTTAAGGGGATATATCTCATATTAGTAAAATGACTCTAATTACAACCAGCACAAAGCATTCTGTGTACACATTTTCACGTAAGTACCACTATGTGGCAAAAATAAAATAATTAAACAGCTCACAAAGTCTGCCAATGACATACGGAATCTTCAGTGTTCTTGCAAATGTATCCATTTCAACCGAGTTAAATAAACATATGATATAAGCAAACAACACACAGGATGTTAAAACAAACTTATCAAGTTTAGGACATTGACCTAAAACCAAACTCAACATGGTGAATAAAAAGATTAAATCAGACCCTTTAACAAGCGAAGCTGGCTGCCTTACACAAGGTGAGCAGATGGCAGTATCCTACAGCTAACAGACCAGGGAACGTGAAAACTGACATTACGTGTTCTATACCATTTATTTCAATCAGGGATAGTTACTAAAAACTGGGTTAAATGGCATAAAAACACTGAGGAAATTATTCAGTTCTGAAAAGCAGTTGAGACTCTAAAATCACGTGTTCAGTTATCATTTCTGTTCATCATCGTATCTGTCAAAGAGACAGCAATCAGGAAGTAGCAACTGAGAGATGGGGGTTTCAAACCCACCTCTACCACTCACTGCCTGTGACCTTGAATGGGTCTCGGACTCGCCAGATCTCAGTCTTCTCATCAGGAAGGAGAGAAGGATTAGCTCACATCAGAAGCAAATACCTTGTACTAAAGCCTAATAAAATGTGTCATGAGCCGCCCCTGAGTCAGCTGTCAAATAAATACACATTCTGTGCTTCAAAATGAAAAATGCAATTTGAAGAAAGGATTCTATGCTTTAAAAAAAAAAAAAGTTTGAAAACCAGTGACGAAATTTGATCTTTTGTGTTTTGTTTTTTTTTTTCAAAAATCATCCTGTCACTTGTAGAAATGAACATGTATGTTGTTTCATAGTCACATAAGAAAAGTAATGTGAACTTAAAGTAAAATTCCACTTATTTTTAAGCTAAGTGTGGATATCCAGCATCTTCATATATAAAGAGTAAAAGTTGAGACTCGTTTTAGAGGGTTCAAGAATGAGATGGCCACAGATGAATTTTCGCCTTAATCTAAGCATTTCAAGCC